TTGGAAAACATGAAGACGATCTTTGGTACCTTTTTGAGAAAATGTGTGAAAATTCATTGCATAAATGTCACACTTCTTAGTTGAGTCATGATTCTAATAACAAAAAGAAAAATTTGAAAGTGTGTCAAATTGAAAGTCCAATAGAGATTGTTGCCGAGGTCAAAACTCTAACTCAAAAACTTGATTAATTTTTATTGAGTCACAAGCTGGCAAAACAATCATCTCCTCTTCTTAATCATCATCTTCATCATTCTTGTGAGCCATGCATGACTTATTCAAGTAGTATTGCATATTACTTCCAATTGTCCCCATGGACATGTACTTGATGAACACTATGAATAAGTCAATGCCACATTTGCTCACTGTCTTTCGAATGTTTATATTCCGGTGTGGAGTGAACATTCAAATCCTCTTCAAGCTAAAAATTTTCAAAACTGGTATGTTCCTCCTCATCAAAGAAATAGAGGCTCAAAAGGATTCATCTCACTTTCTTCTTTTCATCAAAGCATGAACCATTTCTCTCATCCTCAAGCTTATAATTCTCAAAGTAGCTCTAATCACCCTCATACACTTTCTAGCAACCCCACATTTGAAGATAAGGTCTTAGTAGCTTTGGGTAGCTTGGAAATGAACACCAATTTGTTGCATTCTCATTCTTAATCGATATCAAAGCTGGAATCTCAAATCGGGATGATAGCTAATGCATTGAATGCGAGAGAAATTAGTAAATTGCTTAGCCAACCCGAAAGGAACCCCAAAGCTCAACATTTTGTGGAAGCAAACTCGACATCGGGGTGTCTTTCCCAAGAGCAAGTGCAAGCAATTACTACTTTGAGAAGTGGTAGACAAGTTGACAATAGGGTTGAACAACCAAGTGAAGATAGTGAACCAGTGCAACCAAAAGTTGACACCCGTCTCGTTTCCAATCCTATTCCTATTTCCTTGGATGAGCATGGCCCTAAAGGGAATTCTCAACCTTCTTCATCATCCCCTCAAGTTGCAAAGTCTTATGAGCCAAATGCTCCATTTCCTTATGCTTTGAAAGAAACTTTGCCTTTTGGGAAGCAAGAGGGAAAAATCCATGACATGATGGAGGTTTTCAAACAAGTTAATATAAATCTTCCACTCTTGGATGCAATTACGTAAATTCTGCCTTATACAAAATTTTTGAAAGACCTTTGTACACAAAAGAGGAAGTGCAAGGGACAAGGCCCTAAAAAAGTGTTCTTAACAGAGCAAGTGAGCTCCATCATTCAACATAACACTCCACCTAAGTTCAAAGATCCCGGTGCTCCAACCATCTCATGTGTTATTGGAACCCATGAAGTTCGTAGAGCTCTTCTTGACTTAAAGGCAAGTGTTAATTTGATTCCTTACTCCATGTATGTCCAACTAGGTTTGAATGAATTGAAGCTAACCTTGGTGGTGCTTCAGTTGGCCAATAGATCTATTAAAACACATAGGGGCATGATTGAAGACATACTCATCAAGGTTGACAAGTTTTACTTCCTGGTTGATTTCGTAGTTCTTGATACTGAACCAGTTGGAAATCCCACCAATCACATCCCCATCATCTTAGGAAGGCCATTTCTTGCTACCACAAATGCTACCATTAATTATAGATCCCGTGTTATGGACCTTTCTTTTGGTAATATGATGGTTAAGCTTAATGTTCTCAATGCAAGTCGACAACCCATAGATGAAGACGAGTGTTGTCTCATAGATGTCTTTGATGAGGTTATTGAGGAGTCTATTCCCACCATGGTCAAGAAACAACCAACCGAGGATGATTTTTCATCTCTTCTTCGGAGGACCCCCTGGTATCTTGTCTACTTGAAATGTATGGTAATTGTGGGTTTGATAATGAAGGGTCAATGAATGAAGTTAATAATATAATGGAATCCATTGCAAGTTTGGATTTTCCACCTTAGAAAGATCCAAAAGAACCTCTTCCTCTACCCTCTAACATTCCACTGGTTCCATCTCTAGTCTCTCCACCTACTCTTGAGCTCAAAAGTCTCCCTCCTGATCTTAAGTATGCCTTTTTAGGTCTGAAAGAGATTCTTTCGGTCATCATATCTTCAAATCTTGAAAAAGATCAAGAGAATTCTCTTTTGAATGTGCTTAAGGACAATAAGGAAGCCAATGGGTGGAGTGTAGTGGATCTAAAAGGAATTTACCCTTCCATTTGTATTCATCGCATTCTTACGAAAGAAGATGCAAAACCTTTTAGAGATGCCCAAAGGAGATTAAATCCAAACATAAAAGAAGTGGTTAAAAAAGAGGTAGTTAAGCTCTTAGATACCGGTATCATTTATCCAATTTCTAATAGCAAATGGGTGAGTCCAACTCAAGTAGTTCCCAAGAAATCAGGAATTACGGTGGCTGAAAATACAAAAGGTGAGGCAATTTCTAAGCGTATCGCCAATTCATTGCGAGGATGTATTGATTACCAAAAATTGAATGCCGCTACTAGGAAAGATCACTTCCCTTTGCCATTTATTGATCAAATCCTAGAGAGATTGGCTGGGTAACAATACTATTGCTTTCTTGATGGCTATTCGGGTTACAATCAAGTAGCCCTTGACCCCTTAGACCAAGAGAAAACCACCTTTACTTGTCATTTCGGCACATTTGCTTATAAACAGATGCCATTTGGTTTGTGCAATGCCCCTGCCACATTTTAAAGGTGTATGATGTCAATTTTCTCGGACATGGTGGAAGAGTATGTAGAGGTCTTTAAACGATTTTTCTGTCTTTGGGTCTTCATTTGATGCATGCCTTAAGAATCTAAATTTGGTACTTAAAAGATGTCGTGAAACAAACCTTGTTCTTAGTTGGGAAAAGGGCCATTTCATGGTTCAAGAAGGTATTGTTTTGGGTTACGTCATCTCAAAAAGGGGAATTAAGGTGGATAAAGCGAAAGTTGAGCTCATTTCTAAATTACCTCCACCTTCTATGGTGAGAGAAGTTCGCTCTTTTCTAGGTCATACTGGCTTCAATTGCCATTTCATCAAATATTTTAGCAAAATTGCTAGACCCTTGCACAATCTTCTTGCTAAGGAAACTCCTTTTGTCTTTGATCAAGCATGCCTTGATGCTTTCCATAATTTGTGTGACATGTTATCATTCGCTCCTATTATGCAGCCTCCCAATTGGTCATTACCATTTGAAATAATGTGTGATGCTTTAGATTATGCCATGTGAGTAGTTTTGGGACAAAGAGTAGGAAAGCTTCCATGTGCCATATACTATGGAAGCAAAACTTTTTTGGTAGCTCAATTGAACTACTCCACTACCGAGAAAGAGTTACTTGCCGGAGTGTATGCCCTTGATAAATTTCAGTCCTATCTCTTAGGGTCTAAAGTTGTTGTCCATTCTGATCATGCTGCCTTGAGACATCTTTTGACAAAGAAAGAAACAAAACCTTGATTGATTAGATGGATTTTGCTTCTTCAAGAATTCGATTTTGAAATCAAGGATAAGAAAGGCACCGAAAATGTGATTGCCGATCATCTTTCAAGGTTATTGATAGAACCTTCCCCTAGCCCACCAATTCATGATTCTTTTCTGGATGAATAGCTCTTTCAAATTTCCAATGGACAAATGCCTTAGTTGGCCGACATTGTATATTATTTGGCAATTGGCAAGCTTCCAACTTCTTGGTCAAAGAATGAGAAGAATCATTTCTTTGCCAACATTCGAAATTATTATTGGGAAGACCCTGTCTTGTACCGTTATTGTCTGGATCAAATTGTTAGGAGATGCATTCCGGAGAGTGAAATTCCAAGTGTTCTTGTGTTTTGTCATACGCTTGCATGTGGTAGGCATTTTAGTGCAAAAAATACTGCCTTGAAAGTTCTTTAAAGTGGGCTCTTTTGGCCCACTATCCATAGAGATGCTTACAATTTTTGTAAGTCGTGTGAGAGATGTCAAAAGATGGGATCAATGTCAAGAAGAGATTTGATGCCCTTGACCAATATCCTTGTTGTAGAAATCTTTGACATATGGGGCATTGATTTTATGGGTCCATTTCCTATGTCCAATGGTTTTCAATATATTCTCCTTGCCGTTAATTATGTTTCCAAATGGGTGGAAGCTTGTGCTACCAAAACAAATGACCATTCCGTGGTTATTCAATTCATCAAATCCAATATCTTTGCTCGTTTTGGTATGCCTAGGGCTATGATAAGTGACGGAGGAAAGCATTTTTATAACCAATTCTTAAGGCATTTATTTCTTATGTACTCCGTTACTCATAAAGAGGCTACTCCTTACCACCCTCAAACAAGTGGGCAAGTAGAATTGTCTAACCGAAAAATAAAGCATATTCTTGAGAAAACGGTTAACACCACCTGGAAAGATTAGTCACGGAAGTTAAATGATGCTTTGTGGGCTTACCAGACAGAATATAAGACTCCCATTGGCATGTCTCCCTATAGACTTGTATATGGAAAGCCTTGCCATCTTCCGATTAAGTTAGAACATAAATCCTTGTGGGCGGTTAAAAAGCTCAATCTTGACCTTGATAAAGCCGGAGAGAATCGATTATTACAATTGAGTGAGTTGGAAGAGATTGAGTATAATTTTGCCTAACTTGGTTGGATTGGAACAATCAGCTTTCATTAAAGGTAGAAGAATTCATGATAATATTCTGTTAGTGACTGATTTGATAAAAAAATTTAGTTTAAAAAGTAGTGGACCTACTATGGCCATTAAGGTGGATCATAAAAAGGCCTATGATTCAGTCAATTGGAATTTTTTGCATCAGAGTATGAAGCTGTATGGTTTTTCTGAGAGATTGTGTAATTGGATTATGAATTGTGTCTACAGCAAGATTTTCAGTGTTGTGTAATGGAGTTCCAGTTGGTTTCTTCGCATCTGGGGGGGGATTAAGACAGGGTTGCCCTTTATCTCCTCTGCTTTTCACTCTCATTACAGATTAATTTTCTACTTTGATGCATGAGAAAATTGTTGATGGTCAATTAAAGGTTTGTAAAATGGTACAGAAGTCTGGGTTTTTGGTCTCTCATGCTTTCTATGCAAATGATTTGTTCATTATGGTTAAGGCTGACATTTCGACTGCTAAAGCTATTGATGGGGTGTTTCAGAAATTTCATGAAGTGTCAGGTCCGGCTGTGAATAAGGAGAAGAGTGCTGTCATTTTTTCAAAGTCTGTGAGGAGTAAAAGGAGATTACTTCAGGTTTTGCAGGTGAAAGTGGAGTCCTTTCCTATTAAATATTTGGTAATTCCATTAGTTAATAAAGGCTTGAGAAGTGCTAATTGTAAGGGGATTTTTGATAAAGTTACTACTAGATTGGAGCATTGGAACACAATTAATCTGTCTCTTGCAGGGAGAATAGAACTTCTCAGGTCTGTTCTATATTCTTTTATGTATCATTGGATTTTTTGGTTTTAAAATTCCATGGGGTTGTATTATTGCTCTTGAAAGGAAGTTCAAAAAGTTTTTATGGAGTGGAAAGCTTGATGCTAACAAGATGTCACAATTAAAATGGAGTCAAGTAACATTACCATATGCAGAAGGTGGGTTTAATCTTCGCAGGATTCTTGATGTTGATTTTGCAGCTAAAGTTGTTATTTGTTGGGATTTTGTGAACAATAAGGAAGCTTCGTGGGTTAAGTGGATGCATGCCAGGTACTTACAACAGGAAAATTTCTAGATTGTTCAGCCTAAAGTGCAAGATTTTTCTATTTGGAAACAAATTCTAGACACCAGAGAGTTCATATAAGAAAATGCAGAGTTTAGGGTTGGAAATGGGACATCATTTAACATGTTATTTGATCCTTGGTGTGTAGGGTTGCCATTAGTTCAGAGATTTAGGGCTGCTATTTTCAGAAATTATGATAAGCAGGCTAGGCTAAATACTTTAATTGTTGATGGAAGATGGTCATTTCCTCAATTTTTTCTAGCTTCGGCTGTTACTTTTATGGCTAATATTGTTGTGAAGTCTGGACAAGATGATATTGAATGGTCTCAGGGAAGATTTAGCTTGAAGAATGTATGGGAAATTTGTCGAGCTAGAGGACAGATAGTGGGCTGGAAGGAGCTTTGTTGGAAATTTTGTAGACCTCGAGCTGCTGTTTTGGTGGTCATTATTCTGCAAAATAAAAACTTATCTTGTTTTAATTTACAGAGAATGAGATTTTCAGGTCCATCTATCTGTCATAATTGTTTCAAGGAGGAAGAATCTAATGACCATTTGTTTTGCAAGTGCTCTTATGTTTTGGAGGTTTGGCAGCAAGTGTTAGATAAGTTGCACATTTCAGTGGTGAGATTTCAAGGTCTAAATCAGTTTGTGGAGTGGATTTTATTGCAGGTTCAGGCCGATTGTCTTAAGTCCAAAATTATGAAAGGAATATTTTGTGTTTTTATCTGGAAATTTTGGATGGAGAGGAATGTTTCTTTGCATGGAGGTTCTAAGGAGCAGGCTTCAGTTGCTGCAAATGTTATTGTTTGGGAAGTCATGCACTTCTTCTCAATTGGATTTGCTGAGTTGATGATTTTATTTGATGCTGCATAGTCTGTTGATGGTAATTGGCTTAGGATTGAAATTTACAGATTTTAGTGTTAATGGGGGCTGGTTTTGCTTATCTAAAAGGGAGTCAGTTCGGTTACAGGGATTAGATTTCTTAATGTGGCGGGTTCCTTTCATCAATGCTTCAGTTGTAGAGGTGGATTGGTTTCATGTTAGACATTTAGTTTTTATTTGCTTTTCATTTGTATGGCTTGGGGCATATTTGTTCTTTTATTTTGAAGCTTAGGTTTGGTGGATGGTAGTGGTTTAATTCCACTTTATGACTTGTATTGAAGATTTTCTCCTCTTGTAATTGTATCTCTTTTGAATATTTATAAAATTCAAAAAAAGTACCGATTCAGGAAAAAAAAAATGCCAAACTCTACAAAAAGAAAGAACTAAAGCTTTTCATGATAAGCACATTGTGAAGAAGTCTTTTGAACCTGATCAAAAAGTTTGGCTCTTCAACTCTAGATTAAAAATCTTTCCTAGGAAGTTGAGAACCAAATGGGAAGGTCCTTATGAAGTCATCTCTGTTGCAACTCATGGGGCAGTTGAAATTCAAATTTTGAAAAAGGGGAACATTTTCAAGGTTAATGGGCAGAGATTAAAACCCTATATTGAGGGACAGGTCTTCCAAAGACATTTGGAAGCTGCACATCTAATAGACCTTGTTTATGAAGATATCTAGGGTTGCAATGCAAAATGGAAGAGTTTTTGCCTGTTCAATCAATCTCAATGAAAGTTTGATCGATCGAACATCATGGCTCCATCCAACCTGCTTCCAATCACCTCTCTGTCTAATCGTGCAAAGGAAACCTGCATATTATAGCTCTCTGTCTGATCGATCGTAAATTCTTTGATCGATCCAGATTCATCTTGGATCGATCTGCAGTCTCAACACTTAGAAAAATTTTAAACCTACATCCAACCTGCATCCAAAGACCTCTCTGTCTCATCGTTCGAACATGTCTGCAGGTTTTTGCATGTTTGATCGATCGAAAAGTTTTTGAGATTGATCTGAACTTGATCGATCTGAACATCTTTGGTTTGACTTTTTCTTCCCTTTTTGAATTTTAAGCTTATTTATTCAAAGCAGCATTATGTCTAGCTAGAGACGTTAAACTTAGCAATCTTATTTTATTAAAAAAAAAAAAAAACTATCATTTTTCACCATTGTGCCCTTATATATAGTCATGCTACTTTTCTATTGGACTTGATCTCATATCTCTCTTTCATTTTGTGTTATATTGCTTTAGAATGCATGATTTGATTATTCTTATCCCATTTAATATTTGATGTGAATTTGCTAGTGTGGTTATTCAAGTAGGTTATTGATTCCAAGTTTGGGGGAGACGTCTTTTGAATTGGGTCATTGCTGGGCTTCATGTCTTTGCCACCACGGTATACTCTTTCCATCTTTTCTATTGTTCTCATTGCACATTGAGGACAATGTGCGGTTTAAGTTTATGGGTAAGGGGACTTTGTTGCATTCTACTTAAGTTGAGACTTAATTGTATGATTGATATTTGGGATCCAATTTAGCTATGATTTTGATCTTTTGAGGACTTTATTACCTAAAATTTAAAAATTACTTGACTAGAGAGTCCAATACTCTTTGTATGCCTTGTGGATGCCATTTAGGAGTAAATTTTTCAAAAAATTGATATCTTGCTTGCACTTGTGGTCCACATCATCTTGATTTTGTGATTGTTTTGAGATTCACTTTAGGATTCTACACTAGCATAGACGCACACTAACATTCATTTGTGGGGTACATGCTTTGTTGATTATTGAATTTGTTATAACCCAATTGAGCTAGTAGTGTATTGAAACCTTTCATTCTTGATAAAGGTGGATAATAAACCCTTTTCATTGAGTAGCCGGGATTCTAGCCTCATCAAGAACTGAACTTCTCGCACCGAAAGGTGGAGGGCCCGAACTCTAGGTTAATAATTTGAAAAAAAAAAAAAAAAAAAAAAAAAAAAAAAGTTGTTGCAAAAGCAATAAAAAGTGAGAACTTCTCCCAAAAAGGTGAGAAAGTGGGAAATGATTAGATGGAGGTTGTTTTGATTTGAGCTTGTAAGTCCTTTAGGGTGTTTGAACACCTAATGCCCTAAAGCCATCCGGTTTGGGAGTCATTGACCTAACACTCGACCTCATGGATCGCTAGAAAGCTTAATAGATCAGCACATTGCACTATGCTTCCATCTTTGATCCTTAGGGATAGGAAAAAAAAAAAAAAAAAAAAAAAAAAAAAAAAAATCGAGTGAAAAGAATAAGTGCACCTAGATGAATAAAGCTTTAATAAAAGGTCCATTCATTGTCTTGATGATCGGTACTAGATTTGTGTGCTAGTTTGAGGGTAAGGATGTGATCATTTTTTTAGTTGGCTAAAATAGCAACATATTTGATGCCGGTCCACTCAAAAAGGATTCCAGTGTTGTTTTGATTTGCATGATCATTTTCTTGATGTATGGAGGACCATACTTGCTTGCTTGATGTTGAATTTTTGGGAGATTGCTTGGAAATAGTTGAAAAATTGCATACTTGAGGTAGTTTTCTCCCGATTCTTGTTTGCAATATTGGTGCCTCTATTGTGAGAATGAGCTTAATGTTTGTGGGTATCATTTCTGGAAACCCTCACGAGACTTCACTCATCTACTAGGGGTAACCTAGGGGTTTAAAAGGCTTGTCGCATACGCTGAATGTAATCATGTTCCCTACGAAAGTGGCGTTATCCATTTATTGCTTTCTAGTTTCATAATTATATAGTTGTTCATTTCATTCCTTTACTTTGTAGTTCATTGATAGGGACTAGCAATATTTAAGTTTGGGGGTGTGATGAGCGCTGAAAAGTGTGCATTTAAACCCTTTAGCTTAGGTATTCTAGGACCTTTATCTATCTTACTTTCCCGTTTTAGATTGATTTCGTGTTATTACCCTTTTTAGGTGCTTATCCCTAAAATAAGCTAATTCAGCCAAATAAGAGCTTAAAAGAAGCTAACTCAAGCTGGATGGAAGAAAGGAGCAAAGTGGAAGCAGATTGAAGCAAAGTATGGGATTCAGCGGGTTCGATCGATCATAAGTACACTTCGATCGATCGAAAGTTCATCGATCTAGACATTTCAAGATGGATCCAAGCTCTTTTGTCCTTATCCAAAGATCCTACAAAGTTCGATCGATCAAACAATTCTCAGATCGATCGAAAATATTCCATTTTATCCTGTTGTACCACCCTACCTACCACTTTTGTCTCATTCCCCAAAATATCTCAGATCTGTCCTTATCCAAAAAGGCGCCGCCATGGGAGGATCAATCCAGCCAAAGATCGATCGATCTCACCCATGTTCGATCGATCTCACCATAAGTTCGATCGATCGAACTTCCCCAAATGTGAGAAAATTCAATTTTCAGCTCATTAAAAGTTGTCTCATATCCAATCATTAAGAGGAATATTGGTGTACGAGTCCAGATCATTAAGGGTGACATTTGACCTACCTATACAAGGAATATAAGCCACTTTTACAAGAGAACTTTGGACACAATTTCCATATCATACTCTTAGGGAGGAAGAAAATAAGAGAAGAGGCTAGAGACACAAGCTTGGAGTTCTTCCATCAACCAAGAAGATGAGCAATTTCTACCTTGGAGTTAGCCCTTAAGGATTGGAGGACACCATTAATGAGTGGCTAGACATCTTCTTGGGGCTAGAGTTAGCCCTAAGCATGCTTTATACATCTTGATTTATGTATTTTTGAGGGGATTTGTATTATAATATATGTTTTGACATTTTTATATACATAGATCTTGTTTATTCAATGATTTGTGTGGTTTAATGTTTCCAACTGATCATTTCATTCTATCCATAGGTCTATGTATGCTAGAATAGATGTTCATGTGTTTGTGTCTAGATTTTATGTTGTTGATGCATGTCTATGTGTATTGATGCTATAGATCTAGAGATTGTGAAGACATTGTGCTTAATAGAATGCTCTTGTGGTTTATTTGATGGTTCATACTCATTTCTTGATGGATTGTGCCTCTCCCTTAGTTTAATTAGTTTAATTTCATGTCATTAGCTTAATTGTAATGTAGTTGTAGTTTAGATGTTAAATGGGAGGACAATCCATGCTTGTTGTTTGATGTTCTATACTTGTGAATGGAAGTAACATATTTCTCTAACCTTGTGATGTTCTTGGATTATGAGCTTAATGGAAGGATTAATAACTTTGTTTGATATATTGTGCTTTTCACTATGTTTCTTAAACAATATATACTTAATTGGTCATCCATGTTAATTCAATCAACCAAACACTCACACACCAATATTGCAACACATGTTTTCCCTCATTAATCATTAATTAAGGGTGTAGAAAAGCTATGCTTAGTGGTGATCTCTAAACCCCAAGATCTCTCTCTCTTATTTTCTCTCTATTGCATTTAATTGTTTACTTTAGTTTAAATTGCATCTTAGCATGATTCAATCACCAACCAATCTTTTGATTACTCGACCCACTAATCCTAATCTCAATTCCACAACCTAATACGACCCACTAATCCCTTGGGACGATCCCTACTCGCTCTAACTATATTTTTAGTGAAAGGTAGTACACTCATCTTAGTCCACTTTGCAAGCTTCGGTGGTCTCGCGGCAACACCCCACCAGGAGCCGGCTCCCATTGTTTTGGAGCAGGCTCTCAACTTGTAAGAGCATACTCTCGCCCAGAAACGCATATTAACTATTTTAAGGTTTTATTTAGGCTGTACAAGGTATTTTTAAGCCGTTTAAATTGCATTAAATGTTGTAAATAATTGCTATAGACTTGTAAAAATATTGGGAAGCATTATTTTATAGATGGATTAGAGAATGGAACAACAAAAATTTAAGGAAAAAAACCTACACATTGCACATTGTTTTGTTAATTAATTTACTTACTGTAACTTAGCAAATCTTTTACATATGATTTAATTATATTTAATCATATTTCTACAGTGTTATAAGT